TCAAAATTTGAGTTGGTCTTCTCAAAACTTGCCAGTGCTTTATCAACTCAGTTTATGTAATATTGTAAATCCTTTGTTGCCATTTCAACAATATTCACAGCATCTTCACCAGGAGCAGATTCCATCTCAAGAAACCACTTTATTTGCTCATCCATAAGAAGCAACTCCTTATCTGTTCAAGTTTTATCATGAGACTACAGCAATTCAGTCACATCTTCAGGTTCCACTTCTAATTCTAGTTGTCTTGGTTGGAGGTTAAAATCTCAACACTCTTTTTTAAGAATGTTGTTTTTTAGTTCATTCTACCAAACATTTAAAGAAGCAGCAATACCACTTCTTAAACTTTTGCAAAAAATTGAAGATAAGGTAACACTTTTTTTTTCTTAAGACAGAGTCTCGCTCTGTCGCCCAGGTTGGAGTGCAGTGGCGCAATCTTGGCTCACTGCAAGCCCCGCCTCCTGGGTTCACGCCATTCTCCTGCCTCAGCCTCCCAATTAGCTGGGACTACAGGAGCCCGCCACCATGCCTGGCTAACTTTTTGTATTTTTAGTAGAGATGGGGTTTCACCATGTTAGCCAGGATGGTCTCAATCTCCTGACCTCGTGATCCACCCACCTCGGGCTCCCAAAGTGCTGGGATTACAGGTAAGTCACAAAATATCAACATTCTTAATGGCATCTAAAATGACGACTCCTTTTCAGGTTTTCAATTTACTTTGCCCAAATCCATCAGAGGAATCTCTATCTATGGCAGCTACAGCCTTATGAAATATATTTCTTAAACAACAACACTTGAAATTAAAAATGACTCCTTGATCCATGGGCTGCAGAGTGGATGTTGTGTTAGAAGGCATGAAATAATCTCCTTATATATCTCCATCAGAACTCTTGGATGAACGGGTATACTATCAATGAGCAGTAAGTTTGAAAGGAATCTTTTTTTCTGAGCAGTTCTCAACAGTGGGCTTAAAATAGTCAGTCATCCATGCTGTAAACAGATGTGCTGTCATCCAGTGTATTAGTCAGGGTTCTCCAGAGGGACAGAATAGGATAGATGTACATATGAAGGGGAGTTTATTAAGGAGTACTGATGATCAAAAGGTAAAGTCCTAAGATAGGCCATCTGCAAGCTGAGGAGCGAGGAAGCCAGTCTGAGTCCCAAAACCTCAGAACCACCATGCCCCACTAATTTTTGTATTTTTAGTAGAGACACAGTTTCGCCATGTTGGCCAGGCTGGTCTTGAACTCCTGACCTCAAGCAACCCACCGACCTTGGCCTCCCAAAGCACTGGGATTACAGGAGTGAGCCACCATGCCCGGCCAAATACTAGACATTTTAATCTAATGTGGTAACTCTGGATATCAGATTTTCCCCATTCCTCAGGGTTTCTATTTTATTTCATTGTTTAGGCTGTGTCTGTCCCAAGAATCTGCATGAAATATAAACTTTTCTACTCAGGCCTTTTTTAATTCTGCACCTCCCCTCAGCATACATGGTGATTTTCTAGTTTCCCCATATATGCAGTTGCTTTTGAATGTCCTGGTCTTCAATGTCTTGCTCCCAAAAGGAGTTAAAAGAAAAATGAAGGAGGAAAAACTCAAGCTGTATGCAAACTGCTCCAGAAATATGTGCACAGCTGTAGCCATAGGACTGAGGGGTGAGGAACTGGTAGTTACTACTGTCCTAAGAGTTGAAATTGACCAAAATTAACTACAATTTATCATCTTCCCCTGGAAGTTGCAAAATTTCAATAGACTCCAGATTCCAAAATAGTTATATCAGATAGATTCTGCCAGTGCAGCTGCTGTCTAGGCTGGGAGACAGATTTCTGGTGCTTTCTATGCTGCCATTTTCTCCAAATCCTCTCTCCATTCTCCCCTTTCTTGCAGTCATAGAATTTAGTTTTGGTCAGGGCATATGCTTGCTGAGAATAAAAACTACACATCCCAACCTTTCTTGCAGTTAGCTATGACGAGGTGGCCAAATTTTGGCCAGTGGGCTCTAAGTGAAAGTAGTAGTACACATTTTAAAAGTGTCCTTAAAGGGGTGCCTTTCTGCTATTCCAACTTTATGCTGAATGTGTAATGGGTGACTGGATTTTGGCCAGCCATTTTGGACTATGAAGAAGATACATGTTTGTGTCAGAGAAACAAGAGGGAAGGAATCTGGGCTCTTGACATCATAGGGTGCCACACCAGTCCTGGACTAACTATAGTTAGGCTTCTTTTAAGTGAGAAATACACTTCTATTTTGTTTAACCACTATTGTTTTGGTGATTTCTATTATAAACAATTGATCCTAATCCCAATTAAGGTATTCAACTCATTTCCTGGCCCAGAAAACAATTTTTTAAAAATCAAGAAATAGCTTTGTTGTGACATCTCTTTTATCCACTCACTAAACAAACGTCCACCAGGGCTGTAATTTGGAGTTCAGACATGTTAGGCAGAATTCATAAGGGAGAGATGACATTATTAGACATGCGAAGGCTGAAACAGGAAGGTATTTGTTATAGAAAATGGCATCAGTGATTGTCTTAGTCATTCGAGATGCTATAACAAAACACCACAAGCTGAGTGGCTTATAAACAACAAAAATGTATTTCTCATAGTTTTGGGGGCACCTTCTCACTGTGTCCTCACATCATGGAAAGACTGAAGAGTTCCCTTGGAACTCTTTTATAAGGGCACCAATCCCATTCATGAGGGCTGTTCCCTCATTACCTAATCACCTCCCAAAGGCCCACCTCTTAATACTACCATATTGAGGGTTTGGATTTCAACATACTAATTTGAGGGGGCACAAACATTCATAAGCAGTGATCCTGGGGTGGTCCCAACTAACGATGTCTCAACTTATGAGAAACCCTAAGGTTATAACCAGAAGATGTTAACTTAAAATAAGGATTTGAAGTCTCAAGGAATTACTGAATTCTCAATAATGTCAGTATCTGAAAACAAATTTTCTTTTTCCTTTTTGAGACAGTTTTGCTCTGTTGCCCAGGATGGAGTACAGTGGTGTGATCTCGGCTCACTGCAACCTCTGCCTTCTGGGTTCAAGTGATTCTCCTGCCTCAGCCTCCTGAGTAGCTTGGATTACAGGTGTGCACCACCACACCCAGCTAATTTTTGTATTTTTAGTAGAGATGGGGTTTCACCATGTTGGCCAGGCTGGTCTTCAACTCCTGACCTCAGGTGATTCGCCCACCTCAGCCTCCCAAAGTGCTGGGATTACAGGCCTGAGCCACTGCGCCCGTCCCTTTTTCCTGTTCTTAAAACTTCTGGTATAACTAAGATGATGCTATAGAACTTGAGCAAGTTCTTTTCTTGAAGACTATTAGCTTAATACTGTTTATCCCATAAGGTACAGCTTACTATGCTCCCAATTTAACTCTAAACTTACTAGGACCTATAATAACATACAGTCCAGGAGGTTCAACAAGAAAACTTTCATAGCATAATGATTAAGAACATAAGTACTGCAGTCAGACATATCTAGGCTGCAGTCTACCACTTTCAAACAGTGGAACCCTGGAAACTTTTTTTTTTTTTTTTTTTTTTTGCAGTAGCATGATCATAGCTCACTGTAACCTTGAATTCTTGGGTTCAAGTGATCCTCCTGCCTCAGCCTACCAAGTACCTAGGACTACAGGCATGCACCACCATGCCTAGATTTTTTTTTTTTTTTTGAGATGGGGTCTTGCTATGTTGCCCAGGCTGGTCTTTAACTTCTGTCCTCAAGTGATCTTCATACCTTGCCCTCCCAAAGTACTAAGATTACAGGTGTGAGCTACCACACCCAGCTAGGAAAATTATATAACCCTTCTAGGCCTCAGTTCCCTCGCTGGAGATAATGGATACAGATTTAATTACAATGCGCTTAGTACAGTGCCTGGCCATAAGAGTCACTCAGTAAAAAGTCATCATAAGATTTCAGGGTCCATAAGAAGAGTATGTGTAGTTAAGAAGGGCCTCCAGAGACAACCTACCTTATCTTCTACAGATGTCCAGGATTTACCAGCTCATGTATAGCATGGAATCATACTAACAACATTCACCATGTTCTGTTGGCTCTTAATGTTCCAGTTAATACAGAAAACTCTCCCCCTGCCAATTGCCCTCCCCATGCACTGACTTCTGCAAATTCTCCAGTAGTGTCACCACAAACAAGTCCTTATCTTCCAGGTGACATCTGTATCATTCCTTCCTCCAGCTTCTTTGATGATGTTTGTAGTTAAGAGCTCCACTGCCTTCTAAGATGCATTGGGATTCCTCTCCACTACCTTTACATTTTCCTTTAAATGTTAGTTTTCACCTTATAAAAAGGGTATCGTGCTGTATGTAATTTTTAGGACTTTTTTCACCTAATGTTGTGCTGCTAATATTCATGCATATTGTTTTATGTCACTGTAGCTCATTTGTTTTGGCTACTGTACATTATCCACTCTTCTGATGATGGGCACCTGGGTAGCTTCTAGGCTTTTGCTATTGTGAAACTGCCACAAAGTATATTCGTGTTCACATTTTCTATTGTACATGTATGTTTCTTACAGCATATACCCAGGAGTGTTACTGCTGGACTGTAATATGTGAATGTTAGATGTTACTTCATGTATTATTATTAAAGACAGAGTATCACTCTGTTGCCCAGGCTGGAGTGCAGCGGTGTGATCTCAGCTCACTGTAACCTCTGCCTACCCAGATCAAGCTATTCTCCTGTCTCAGCCTCCCAAGTAGCTGGGACTACAGGTGCACACCACCACCCCCGGCTAATTTTTGTATTTTTAGTAGAGATGGGCTTTCACCACATTGGTCAGGCTGGTCTTCAACTCCTGACCTCAGCTGATCCACCTACCTCAGCTTCCCAAAGTGCTGGGATTACAGGCGTGTGCCACTGCACCCAGCCATGTATTATGTTTTTCATATCTACTTCATCTTTCCTTGTCTCTTTGAGAATATTTATTACGTTTATGTTTTGGTCTGTTCATTCTGATTCAAAAATATGTTTATGTATGTATTTAAAGGCTTGGAATAACATGTACACAACTATGTATGGTGGCCATCTTTGAAGGACTGCAACTATGAAAAAACCATCAGTTCAACTGTCCCGGACAGCATTTCATTGTATTATGTAACTGTAGAAAGCCTTAATCAAGATAAAAATAGGGATGACTTATCAGAAACTGAAGAATTTTCTTAAGAAAGCAATGTTTACTGAAGGATACCTTCATTCCAGCCATGATGAGCATCTGTCTTCTTAGGCAATCATGGTGAAGCTCCAGGGTAGTATAACCCATCTCTCCCACTCATCCCTGAGCCTTGGTCCTGGACTGAATGTGGTTAGAGGTTGTGGAAATAAAAAAAGAACCAAAATAAGAACACTGTCCATAAAAGCCAAGCTCAGAGACTGGTCCTCTTTTGCTTAGGTACAGCAGGAGCAGGAAGGATCGACATTCTTGAAAGCATACCTTCTATTCATTTGGCTTTTTTGGCTTGGGGCCCCAGTGTAGAGCCGAGTACTCCACTGCCCTTTCTCCACTCACAAATGTCTGCATATGTACATGTCCGGCACTTCCAAGCCTCCTCCACATCGACTCCCTGGGGCTCTCGGTGGCCCATCCAGTAGGCCATATAATGCTGCACCTTGGCTCTCACCTCCTTCTCTTCAAAGGCTACAATCTCAGTACCCAGCACCGTGGCAGTCTCTTGGTGGATATACTCAATCTTCAAGATATCAATAACTGGGAGGTCTGACAGTGTTAGAGACAAGAAGACCAGTTCCATGAGGTCACCCAAAGATTTCACAGAGAAGCCTCCTTTCCGGGCATGCCTCAGCACTGATGGCCCGAGTGGCTTTTCTGGACACAACTTCGTGTGGTGGATTAAGCTAGCAGGGGTCACTTTACCTTGTACCATGGCATCAAAGATATATTTGTATAGGCTGACTTGAAAACAGTCTTTCTTTTTCTGAGCTTCCAGAGGGAGCATAGGGCGCCTGCGTGTCTTGAGTTCTGCCAGTTCCAGTTCCCCCTTGGCTGTATAGTGCAGCTCATCGATCACTCCAACAAGAAGTACACCCTCCACTTCCCCAAACACGGGAAACTCTCTGATGTGCCCTTCTGACTGCAGGGCAGGAATCATCAAAAGTATGTTCAGAAACTTAATTGCCCAAGCATCTTCTTTAGTGGTGACTGGGACAGTCACAAGATCATGAAGTTCTAGTTCTCTAGCTAGGTGTATGCTGGCACCAGTGTCCAAAACAGCTGCCTTCTCAGGTGCCAAAAAACCAGGAAGCTCCTTCCCATATGCTGTTTGCAGTTCACACCAGTTCTGAGTAGCCAGGTCAGTGACATACAAATATTTAAGGTGGAATCTCTCCATGGGTGATAAGATATCCAATCCTCTTTTCCAGTTTTGTAAGCTTATGGGTTTATCATCCTTCCCAAGGGATTCAGAAGATGGGCCAGGCATGTTAACTAAAGCATTTGACTCTTGGGCATCTTCTAGGTCCAGAAACTCCAGGAATTCTGAGTCACTCAAGTCTGAGAACCCGGAGGCTTCTGCTGACACTGTCTCCTCTTCTCTTGTCTCTGCCATGGCACAGCTCTGGATTGGGCTAGAAGGGCCCTGCATAACATGTTAAAGAAATGCATTGTTCAAATAAAAACTTTCTCAAAAGCACTTTCAAATTTCAGTAAGATAAAAACAAAATCATGACAAATTATTGACTTATATTCTTTAAAAAAGCCAGTTTATTTATGACCAATTAGTAATGCCATACAGTTGTAGTACAGATATGTATTGCAATAGGGTTCCTTATATAATCCATATATATCACTTGGCAGAATTTTTCTTTTTTTTTTTTTTTTTTGAGACGGAGTCTCGCTCTGTCACCCAGGCTGGAGTGCAGTGGCGCAATCTCGGCTCACTGCAAGTTCCGCCTCCTGGGTTCACACCATTCTCCTGCTTCCGCCTCCTGAGTAGCTGGGACTATAGGCACCCGCCACCATGCCCGGCTAATTTTTTGTATTTTTAGTAGAGACGGGGTTTCACCGTGTTAACCAGGATGGTCTCAATCTCCTGACCTCATGATCCACCCACCTCAGCCTACCAAAGTGCTGGGATTACAGGCGTAAGCCACCACAGAATTTTTAAAGGGGAAAAATAGTTTTATTCCTGGATCTTCCACTAACATACTGTGTGTGACTTTAAGCAAACCACCTTTCTTGGTCTCAGTTTCTTCAGATTTAAAAAGAAATTTGAGGCCAGGCAGGTGGCTCACGCCTGTAATCCCAGCCCTTTGGAAGACTGAGGTGGGCAGATCACTTGAGGTCAGGAGTTCAAGACCAACCTGGCTAACATGGTGAAACCCCATCTCTACTAAAAATACAAAAATTAGCTGAGTATGGTGGCACACACATGTATTCCTAGTTACTCGGGAGGCTGAGGCAGGAGAATTGCTTGAACAGGGAGATGGAGGTTGCAGTGAGCCGCGACTGTGCCACTGCACTCCAGCCTAGGTGACAGAGCAAGACTCTGTCTCAAGAAAAAGAAAAAAAAAAAAAAAAGGAGATTTGAGGTTTGCCTTTTCTGCTTCAAAATTCTATTAACTTGAAAGAGTATTTCATTATTTTAAGTGAATATACATCTTTGTAGGAACAATGTTTGAGAAGTTTACCAAGGGCCACCTTCTACAATTCCCTTGATACAAAGTCCTTGATGAGGAAAATGAACCTCAACTACAAACTGTTCCTTGAGAGAAAGTAGCTCTGCAATAACTGTTTTTAAATGCAGTTCAAGGAACCTAGTATGGCAAAATTCAAAGATCGACTATAGATAAATACGAATAAATATAGTCTAACACAAATTAATGCATGAAATAATAAGAGGATGTTACAGCAACACATGGAAATTAGTAGCTTGACTTCATAAATTATCCTCTTAATATTATAGAAATTGGGGCTGGGCGCGATGGCTCACACCTGTAATCCCAGCACTTTGGTAGGCTGAGGAGGGCGGATCATGAGGTCAGGAGATCGAGACCATCCTGGCTAACACGGTGACACCCCGTCTCTATTAAAAAAAATACAAAAAAATTAGCCAGGCATGGTGGTGGGTGCCTGTAGACCTAGCTACTCGGGAGGCTGAGGCAGGAGAATGGCGTGAACCGGGGAGGCGGAGCTTGCAGTGAGCCGAGATCGCACCACTGCATTCCAGCCTGGTTGACAGAGCAAGACTCTGTCTCAAAAAAAAAGTATATATATATTTATATATATATAGTGGTGTATATATATAAATATATATAATATATATTTATCATATTGTATATATAAAATATATAATATAAAAAATATATATATTTTAGAAATTGGTGTCTGTCACTAAACTGGGGTTTCCCATTAAGTTTATTTTCTCCCTCCACAAGAAACTAGCTTATAATGGGAAAAAAAATCTGCCTATTAGAGATTAAAAACTCAAAATTTACTGCTATAACAGAGAGTATTTATTGTGTGGTTAATTATTGTGTGCCAGACACTGAGCCAAGTGTTTTACATCCAGTATCTCACTACCCTTTTTCTTTCAACTTTTTTTTTTTTTTTTTTTTTTTGAGACGGAGTCTCGCTCTGCCGCCCAGGCTGGAGTGCAGTGGCCCGATCTCAGCTCACTGCAAGCTCCGCCTCCCGGGTTCACGCCATTCTCCTGCCTCAGCCTCCCGAGTAGTTGGGACTACAGGCGCCCGCCACCTCGCCCGGCTAGTTTTTTGTATTTTTTAGTAGAGACGGGGTTTCACCGTGTTAGCCAGGATGGTCTCGATCTCCTGACCTCGTGATCCGCCCGTCTCGGCCTCCCAAAGTGCTGGGATTACAGGCTTGAGCCACTGCGCCCGGCCTCAACTTTTTACTATAAAGATTTTCAAGGCCGGGTACAGTGGCTCAAGCCTATAATCCCAGCACTTTGGGAGGCCGAGGCAGGTAGATCACCTGGGGTCGGGAGTTTGAGACCAGCCTGGCCAACACATGGTGACACTTCATCTCCACTAAAAATATGAAAAATTAGCCAGGTGTGATGGCAGGTACCTGTAATCCCAGCTACTCGGGAGGCTGAGGGGGTAAAATTGATTGGACCTAGGAGGCGGAGGTTGCAGTGAGCTGAGATAGCACCACTGCACTCCAGCCTGGGCGGCAGAGTGAAGACTCCGTCTCAAAAAAAATAAAAATAAAAAAAAGATTTTCAAACATACAGAGAAGTAGAAAGAATAAAACAATGAACACCCATGTCCACACCATGTAGATGAACAACTGCTGACATTTTGCTGTATTTGCTTCTTGTGTGTGTACTTTTTTGTTTTGGCTGACCTATTTTGAAGTAAATTACAGACATCATAACACTTTAAAATCTAAATGTTTCAGCATACATTTCCAAATGGCATTCTTCATAACCACAATACTATCTTCCAAATGACATTCTCCTCATAACTACATTATCACATCTAACAAAATTAGTAATTCCTTAACATTCCGGTTCATATTTGAATTTCCCCAACTGTCCTCAAAATGTCCCAGATAGCTTTTCTTTAATCCAGGAAACAAAGACCACACATTATGTTTGATTGTTTTGTCTTTCAAGTATTTTTTAATCTTAAGAAACTAGGTGGCCGGGCACGGTGGTTCACACCTGTAATCCTGGCACTTTGGGAGGCCAAGGCGGGCAGATCACGAGGTCAGGAGATCGAGACCATCCTGGCTAACACAGTGAAACCCCATCTCTACTAAAAGTACAAAAAATTAGCCGGGCATGGCAGCAGGCACCTATAGTTCCAGCTACTCAGGAGGCTGAGGTAGGAGAATGGCGTGAACCTAGGAGGCTGAGCTTGCAGTGAGCTGAGATCGCGCCACTGCACTCCAGCCTGGGCAACAGAGCAAGACTCCGTCTCAAAAAAAAAAAAAAAGAAAAGAAACTAGGCAAATTATGAAGATACTCTTTTTAAGCCTTCCTCCTAACCCCACATATCTAACCTGCATAGAGAGTAAACAAAACAAGATGCAACCAGTCCACTAGTGTTTGACTTTGAGTGCCAGGAAAATAAATAATTTGACATAGAATTTAAGCTGATAGAGATAGCTATGAACCAAATGTCTCCTTCTTGTTATTCTATTATTCTAATAAGCAGAGAAATAAGTTGAACGCACCAACTCCTATGTCAAAGCGTAAGAAGTGATGCCCTGAAAACATCATTAATATCAATTGTGGTTGTGTTTAACTGATTTTCAAATAGTCTAAATGTCACTAATAAAAGAAAACATAGATAGCTAGAAGGAAAGTTATCTGCAATGAACACAAATAACACAATAGTAAGACTTTTGCTTATAGAGTATCCTATAAAGTTCTTGCTTTACAGGATATTTCAATAGTAACAAAACACAGAAGCTGTACATTTGCACAAGTGTTATAAACCGTAAATGTGCTTTAAATAATTTCAAGAAACTATTTCAACTATGAAGTCTCTGAAAATTGGTAAGAATCTTTACCCTTCACTAAGAAACTAAAGTTAAAGCGCATTTGTAACATATATGCTATGAGGTTTTCGTGGGGGGTAAGGGGGAACTCCAAGTCCAAATCAATTAATCATAAAATATTTTATTTCAAATATCTAGACCTGGCTGTCCAATATGGTAACCACTAGTAGCCACTAGCCATACGTCGCTACTTAAATTTAAATTAATTAAAATAAAACTCACTTCTCAGTTGCACTAGCCATGTATTAAATGCTCAGCAGGTACATCTGGCTGGTGGATACAGATAAGGCACAGATAGAGAACAGTTCCCTGATCACAGAAAGCTCTATTGAACAGCACAGAGTTAGACTATTTTCTGTGTACACATTAACTCCCCAAAGAGAGAGTAAGCTCCTGAAATGTATGGAGTTCCTACTTGTTTTACATACAACATTGAGAACAGGTAGTCCTAAACAGGGAAGTGAAATGTCTTTTGGAGAAGATACAAAGCGGGGCATTCTCTGTGAAAGTATTCATCTATAAGAATAAAACAGTACACTAAGAATGGATAACTGACACTCAGATGTGCGGCTGGGACTTTCCTACCCAGAAAAGAATCCAGAAGAGAGCATAATGCAGTGCATTGTGTCCCAAATTGTAGTTTGTATCTCTGACACGAGACGATTTTACATAGCACATGGACTGACATTTTTAGATACACCTTAGAATAACTATACTGTTATTGGAGCAGCCATCAAATGGCTAATTTCACAGATATTGTTTCTTAGGACAAGTTTGATTTAACAAAAGTAAGTAAAAACATATAAGAATAATACAGGTAGTACACAGGTAGGGCAAAATTGTTAGGTAGTAAGTGAATGGCATGCTGGGAAATAGCATAATGCCAAGAGTCTGAGAGTCCTCCTACAGATCTGGATTCTGAACCTAATTCTGAGTGGTTCGGTAGCATTTAGTAGTATGCTACTTGCCTTTTGAGTAAGCTTGGACAAGGTTCTAGTTTTCCTTAAGTTATTGACACATCTTTAAAATACCTACTAACCCTACTCAGCTATCCGACCATTGAGTGATAACATATAGTACACATATTAGCACTCGATAAAGATAGATCTTGTTTTTCCCAAGTAAGAGATGAGAGAGTGTATCGATTCCCCCTGACAAAGGAGATTAAACTTTAGAAGAGAAGAAACTCTTATTCACCTGTGACTTAGTTGATCTCCCTCCTCACAGGGAAGGCCAGAATGCTGAAATGACAAGGCTAGGGAAGAGAAAGAAGTTTTGAAAGACCAGGTCTGCATTAAAGAACCTAAATTAGCAACTTAGGTCCTTGCTATCGTAGAACCGGAACTTCTGGTCCTTTCTTACCTGACCATTCCCATGTTGGGTGTTTTCTCCTCTCAGATTCACACTGCACAGACTGTTACCCACCCCAGTTACCCACCCCAGATCCTAGTCTACATAAGGCTCGCCTCTCTCCTGGGGCAAACTCTCTCCAAGATTTCTTCGTTTCCCCCGTACTCTGGATGCAGTGACGAGAAAGTAAAAGGGTCAAACATAACCAAGGTCCCCGAGGAGCTCCGAGATCAGTTCCCTCTTCCAGCTCCATTCTCTACCCAACAGATCAGGCAAGAGACCTTATGACAGCGGCTCTTTCTCTCTGATGGGCTCCAGCCTTCTGCGGAATTGCCGATGGCAACATCCTGACTTGTTGAGTGCAGCCCGGACTTGTGGGCTGCGCGGGCGTTTGTCTTCAGCGGAGATCTTTCCTCTGGCCCTAAAGCACTGTCTCCCAGGGAGTGCCATGCATGCCCTAAAGTGTACTGCGCACTTCCTACAGTCCTGGCAGAGCCAGGAATGAGAGCAAGGAGTCGTCCACCTCGGGAAGGAGTCCCGGCCGACAGCACCGTGTTCCGAGGGCGAAGGTCCAGAACGGGAACCCGGCCTGCGAGGGGAGCCGCTCCCACCAAGGGAGGGGAACGCGGCGATCGCAGGAACAGAACCCTAGGCTCCGAAACGCAGCCTCCCACCCCATTCTCCGGCCTTCCCCTAACCTCGGATACTCCTCCGAACCTCGGACTCCACCTGGTTTCGCCGCGGCCTCGGAGCTGCTCCCGGACGCTCCCAGCGAGGAGACTGAAGAAGCCGGGCAGAGCGCGCTGCCGGAGCGGTCTACACTGCCTGCCCCGCCACTTGCAAAAAAGCCGCCCAGAGCCCAGTCCCAGAGTGCCCCGCGGCTGCCCACGGACCGCCTTCCCAGAGGCCTTCGCGGCGCCGCCTACCTCGCGAGCCTGCGGCTGGGGCGGAAATCTGTGTCTGTGGGCGGCGGAGAGTGCTGCTTACGGGAGGGCAGGTTTTGGGAGCTCGCTAAAGCCGGTCAGTCCCTGTGTTTGCGCCGCTGTCTGTGGGTCGTTTAATTCCGGGCGCAGCTGACCTGTAAGCTCCCTCTCTGGCAAGGTCTCCCAGTTACCACCAGGACAGTCCGAGCAAGGTCTGGGCCGGTCGCTGCCCCCGGTGAAGTGCCGCGTCTAGGCTTGGCCATCCGTGGATTCAGCATCCCCACCTTAGCACCTCCCGCCAGCTTTTCCAGTGAGAGCAAAACCACGAACTCACTTTTGAGAGATGCTGGCGCTTCCCTCATTAATATATATATATTTTTTCTGTTTGCTTACTTTTAACTAAACTTTTATTGATAAATATAACACAATTTTATTCTGAAATATAAAGCAAAGTGTAATTATTATGAACAGACAAGTCATTAGAGCGAAAAAAGAAGTGTCAGGTTCTTCGCAGATACACTTCCTGAGAAAACCACTAGCCCGACTTCTATGACACTTTGCTTTTCTTATATTTATTTATTTATTTATTTTTATCAAAAGCAGATACTTGATTCTTTGCTTTTCTTTACGGTTTATCACTTATACTTGAAAACTGGATTTGTGACAAAGGTGGTATCATACAGCCATGGAGAAAAGACGGTGTATTCAATGAAGGTTCTGACAATATGAAGGCCAGGCACGGTGGCTTACGCCTGTAATCCCAGAACTTTGGGAGGCCGTGGCGGGCGGATCACGAGGTTAAGAGATCGAGACCATCCTAGCCAACATGGTGAAACCCTGTCTCTACTAAAAAGTACAAAAATGACCTGGGTGTGGTGGCACACACCTGTAGTCCCAGCTACCCGGGAGGCTGAGGCAGGAGAGTCGCTTGAACCAGGAGGCAGAGGTTGCAGTGAGCAGAGATCACACCACTGCACTCCAGCCTGGGCAACAGAGGGAGACTCTGTCTCAAAAAATAAATAAAACAAAACAAAAAAACAAAACAGGACCTCTCTCATTTCATCACAAAAATCAATTCCAGTTGGATTAAGACCTAAATGTGAAATCCTAAACTATAAAGCCTTTAGAATATAATATAGGAAAATATCTTTGGACTTAGAATGGGTAAATATTTTAAAACAAAAATAGAAAAACATTAAATTGGCCAGGCATGGTGGCTCATGCCTGTAATAGAAACACTTTGGGAGGCCCAGGTAGGCGGATCACTGGAGATCAGGAGTTGAGACCAGCCTGGCCAACATAGTGAAACCCCATTTCTAGTAAAAATACAAAAAATTAGCCAAGTTTGGTGGCAGGCGCCCATAATCTCAGCTACTTGGGAGGCCGAGGCGAGAGAAATCACTTGAACCTGGGAGGCGGAGTTTGCAGTGAGCCGAGATCAGGCCACTACACTCCAGTCTGGGTGATAGAGTGAGATTCTGTCAAAAAAAAAAAAAAGAAGAAGAAGAAGAAAGAAAAGAAAAAAAGAAGAAAGAAAAAAACATTAAATTAAGACAACTACAGGCCGAGTGCACTGGCTCACACTTGTAATCCTAGCATTCTGGGAGGCCGAAGTGGGTGGATCCCTTGAGCTCAGTTCAGAAACCAGCTGGGGTAACATGGTGAAAACACGTCTCTACAAAAAATACAAAAATTAGCTGAGGATGGTGATATGTGCCTGTAGTCCCAGCTACTCTGGTGTGTCAGTTGGGAAAATTTTGAAGTGACTTGTGTTTTAGATAATATTATCAATCAATTATAGGTCTCCTGAGTGTCATAATGATTTTGTGGTTATGTAGGAAAATGTTCTTTTTCTTAGAAATACGGAAATTGAGGCCAGGCACGGTGGCTCTCACCTGTAATCCTAGCACTTTGGGAGGCCAAGGCGGGGGGATCACCTGAGGTCAGGAGTTCAAGACCAGCCTGGCCAATATGGTGAAACCCTGTCTCTACTAAAATACAAAACTTAGCCGGGCATGATGGCAGGTGCCTGTAATCCCAGCTACTCGGGAGGCTGAGATGGGAGAATTGCTTGAACCTGGGAGATGGTGGTTGCAGTGGGCCGAGATCACACCACTGCACTCCAGCCTGGGTGGCTGACCAAGACTCTTGTCTCAAAAAAAAAAAAAAAAAGAAATATGGAAGTTGAGTGTATTAAATAGTCTGTTCTCATGCTGCTAATGAAGACATACCTGAGACTGGGTAATTTGTAAAGGAAAGAGATTTAATTGACTCACAGCTCCACATGGCTAGGGAGGCCTCACAATCATGGAAGGTGAAGGAGGAGCAAAGTCACCTCTTACAAGGTGGCAGGCAAGAGAGAACATCTGCAGGGGAACATACCTTTATAAAACCATCAGGTCAGCTGGGTGCAGTGCCTCACGCCTGTAATCCCAGCACTTTGGGAAGCCACGGCTGGTGGATCACCTAAGGTCAGGAGTTCAAGACCAGCCTGGCCAACATGGTGAACCCCTATCTCTACTAAAAATACAAAAAATTAGCCAAGCATGATGGCAGATGCCTGTAATCCCAGCTACTCAGGAGGCTGAGGCAGGAGAATCGCTTGAACCCAGGAGGCGGAGGTTGCAGTGAGCTGAGATCACGCCACTGCACTCCAGCCTGGGCAACAAGAGTGAAACTCTGTCTCAAAAACAAAACAAAACAAAATCATCAGATCTTGTGAGATTTATTCACTATCACGAGAACAGCATAGGAAAGACCTGCCCCCATGATTCAATTACCTCCTACCCAGTACCTCCCCTATGATATGTGGGAATTATGGGAGCTACACTTCAAGATGAGGTTTGGGTTGGGACACAACCAAACCATATCATTGAGGAAATGCTTTTTAATCCACTGAGATATGAGAAGGCATTTCTAGATTGAGGCTACAAAAACTTTCTGCCTCTTCCCCAACATAACCTTTCTTACTTGAGATGTAAACTGAATGCCAGGAAAACCCCTCCCCAGCCCCCTCACACATGGACCACTCTTCAAATGGAGTTTGAGGGGCAATGACACTGGGTAGAGTGAAGCAGAAGAGATTTAGAAACAGTCATGGAATTTGTGGGGAAAATAAATATCCAAAACATAACTTTCAGCCTAAAGACTGTGGGTCTCAAAACTGAGAAAAGAATGCCCTTTCCCCCAAAAGCTATCCTAGGAAGTCTGAGTCCTTAAGGCCCACCTGTATGCAAAAGTCATTGATTTGGTTCTTCTACCTCCAGGTCTGTAACCATCAAAATACTGTTAGACACAAATGGCCCATTTTTCTCTGTGTCCATTCTTCCCTCCTTGGTCTTTTGGAGCACAGGATTGTACCTGTAACATTGTACTGACTGCAGTCCTCCATATATCAGAGTAAGTCTTTATGTGATTACTCCTAGAGCTGCACTGTCCAATACAGTAGCCACTAGTCATATGTGGCTCTTGAACACTTGAAATGTGGCTAGTCCAAAATGAAATGTGCTATGAAATTTGCAAGCACTTTGAAGACTAAGTACAAAAAAAAAAAGGTTAAATAACTCACTAATAATGTTTACATTGATTAAATGTTGAGATGATAATGTTTTGGATATACCGGTGATATGGTTTGACTCTGTGTTTCCACCCAAATCTCACCTTGAATTTTAATAATCCCCATATGTTATGGGAAGGACCCAGTGGTAGGCAATTGAATCATAGGGGCGAGTTTTTCCTGTGCTATTCCTGTGATAGTGAATAAGTCTCACAATATCTGATGGTTTTATAAAGGGGAGTTCCCCTACACAAGCTTCTTGCCTGCTGCCACGTAAGACATGCCTGCTCTTCCTTCGCCTCCCACCATGATTGTGAGGCCTCTCCAGCCACGTGCAATGGTAAGTCCATTAAACCTCTTTCCTTTATAAATTAGCCAGTCTCGGGTATGTCTTTATTAGCAGCATGATAACAGACTAATAAAACTGAGTTAAATAAAACATTTTTAAATTAAGCTGGGTGTGGTGGCTCATGCCTGTAACCCCAGAACTATGGGAGGCCAAGGTGGGTGGATCACCTGAGATTAGGAGTTCAAGACCACCCTGGCCAACATGGCAAAACCCATCTCTACTAAAAATACAAAAATTAGCTGGGCATAGTGGCATGTGCCTGTAGTCCCAGCTACTCAGGAGGCTGAGGCATGAGAATTACTTGAACCCGGGAGGCAGAGGTTGCAGTGAGCCAAGACTGTACTACTACACTCCAGCCTGGGCGACAGAGTGAGACTCTGTCCAAAAAAAAATAAAATAAAATAATTTTACTTGCTGTTTTTTGTTGTATTAATGTAGCTGCTAGAAAATTTAAAATTACATATATGTTTGCATTTGTGTTATGGCTTACATTATATTTCTGTTGTACAGTGCTGCTCTAGAGTATCAGAGCCTTAAAGGAAGAGAATTTATCTTGCTCAAATTGTGTTCTCACAGGTATAGGAGCAATAATCGGCATACTCTTTACATGCTCAAGAGATCTCCATTGACAATATTCTGTATTTGAGAATCTTCTATTCCTTATATGACAATCAGCCTCTCTCTTGAGTCAAACTCCAATTTCTTGCAATTGAAAGGGACATTTTTAGTCGGAGAAAGCAGGAGGAGGTAGCCCTAGACTAGGAAACTGGGGGGGGGGGGTGAGGATGAGCTAAGGATGAAAGACTGGGGCATGCTTCTGCTAAAAGAAGGCAGCTTCGGATATGGTACATTATGAACCCTTGTGTCAAGGAGTTTTCTCTTTCCATTTCTTGGCTCTGTTTCTCCTGTGTTTGCTCCATATCCAGGCAGCCTCCCTCCTCTTCCTCTGCTAGTAGCTTCCAGGACCATGAAAGCCTTTCAGATTTGTGTCCATTGTGGGAAAAAAGGAAGTCTGTTTCCCTAATAGCTGAAACATAAGTACAGGAATTGATCCTGATTGG